TCCTTGAAACTATAAAAAACCCAGTTTCTGATGTCGATCGATCAAGAACAAGTCCATACCTCCAAGATACTTAAACTAGAAATACGCATCTCGGAAACCCTCGCGAAACTCAGTGTATCACTTGAGTTAGCCCTTCAATGAAATAATTTCCAAGCAAAAGGCAATTATGTAAGGCTACTCATGATTTAAACTGGCTTAAATGAGATAAGATGAGCGCAATTTAACTTCCACTCACCTTTTTACCTAACTCCGGGGAAAGTGTCAAATGAGCTGTAAGGAGTTCCGATGCATGGAGACTATTCGAAGGGTTAAGTTCATCATATATTTCTTTTAAACAAGTCATTAAGATAGTGATCTTCTTCTATTGGTCTATTGGTCATGAACTGACATATGCTATAGAAGTGATTGATGAAAAGTTAATTAGTAATACAGTTGGCGGATATCAGTGGCTGTTTGGTCGGGATCGGTGATCTTCTATGAAATCTTCGTTACGGGGCGTAATTCATTTAATGGTTAGACGGGACCTACAATAGATTGAAGAATTCAATTGAATGTCGCTAAGAGTTCTATCTCTTTTATATGTTTGATAGATCAATAAACGCCCTTTCAATTAAGCACATCACGCATTTGCTCTCTAACAACGATTTCCTTTATTTAATTTTGTCCATGCATGTCTTTTTCATTTCTGGGTTGGAGACGTGGAGCCTGAGTTAAACATTATTAGCACGCTGATCTCCAGGCCTTTTATGTCGTAATGTTGTTAAACTGTCATAGTGCCGTCCAGCAAAAAGGAGTGTATTAAATGGCCACCGGTGAACTCTATGCTACAAAAACCAGAATAAACGCAGCCCTTTATGAACCACCTGGCAGCAAACTAGCTATACGTTGTCTATTTTAAGTTGAGTTTCATAGTGCCAGATTAACAACTTAGCCCTTCAAAGGGGGGGCTTTATGAAGAAGTGACAAACTGAAATGTGGCCAATTGCTACTAGGCATTCTACCTGAGTCACTTTAATTTGTTACTATTATGAGCATTCAGTTTAATCTCTGGTGATTTCAACGGTCACACAAACATAACAATCTCCGTAAAATATCAACTCAGGCTTCAGTGAGAACGTTATCTGATAATATGAAAATTAATCGCATATATTGTAGATTGAAAGGTTTGTGATATCACATACACCGTAAAATCGAAAAAAAAATCTTTAAAGACATCGTTTGAAAACTCTTAACTTTTAGAGAGCAAAATCGAAGGGAATGAATTGCGCTGTTGATTAAATTTTTAACAAACTTTATTACCGGTAGATAATTTCATTCGACCGATTTCGGGACTGTTTCGCGATCAAAGCGCTTTGCGAGAAGCTACAATTCATTTTGAATACAAAAGTCGTCCAAAATTTTATTAACTAAAATATTCCTGCTAAAGACTACGGTGAAAACCCAATTCTTATTTTTCCTGGATCGTTAATAGAGATCATTCATTCCAACGGATCGGAAGAAACTCAACAACCTACACAACTGTATCGTGCGGGTAAGGTAATTTCGTTGTTGAGCGAGGTGTAGGATTGCGGAAAATTGATTCAGTACTTATTTCTTATCTTTTAATTTGTTTTATTGCAAAAATGGAAATGGTGTTTACACGTTTTATTCATTCGACCTCTATTGGATAAGGGCAAATTCCTGCAGACTCCCCAGCCTTTAGAATTTACACTCTAAGCAACACAAACCTTACGTTCCGTAGGTCGTGGAAGCTAGTCTTCTAGGGAGCAGGTTGACACTCTTTATGATTGAGCACCTCCATGTTTATATTTGTTTACATTTTGCCTCATTAATTAACAAATGCTTTTCTCTAAATATTGTATAAGCATAGCCATGCTAGTAATCTCGAAAAATTTGAGCCGGATATACCGCATGGTTTCGGAGAAATTATCTTTAAAACACTCGAAATTTTAGAAAGAATGTATGGCTCGTTAAATATAACTTTTTGCAACCTAAACAATTTCCCAGTTTGTAATGGCTGATATTTCCTTCAATATTGCTTGAAAAGAGATGGAAATCGTGCAAATTGCTCCAGTTACAATCAACTCTTTCAACTTTTGAATTTAGTTCGTATATGCGGCCACGACTTTCTTGAGTCAAGTCGTGAACCAATGACGAAAAATGTGAACAATGACATCAGCAAAGATTCGCCTATAGTCCTGATCGGGCAATAATTACAAGAGTGTCCAGACTCTTTATGGAGATTTCTTTGAAGATCAGTGAAGCTAACCAAAGAACATGGAGTCACTAGTCACCTTCCAAATTTGGGATTCTAGCAATCGGAGTTTTCTCCCCATCAGTCGATCCCAGGGACAAGTAGGAAAAAAATATATGTACATAATATATAGATTTAACCAGGGCTAAAAGCGAGGTTAATTCCCATTAATAAATTTAAAATTTACATCAGGGGGATGATAAACCTGTATTCCACAGATCAGTTAACTTTAGAGCACATTCATGTGACTGTTGAGGGAAAGGCTACGTGATTTTAGAAAAAAATAATTTGAAAACAGCCCAAGAGGGAATCAAATCTTACATCGAGTTGATAGCCTCATATGTACACCCAAAAAACAGCAATAATCTTCGATCACATTTGAGAGTCATAATGGCTCTTGATCACCGTAAATTAATTAGGCCTGGAAAAAAAAAAATCAGGCCGAATTTTTTGCGTTCGACAAGTTTACTTTACAAGATCTTGCCAACAAATTTGGGTGCGTGTAAACGAACCTTTCATACCATTTATACATCACAACTGAGGTGAAACAGTACTATGAGACACTGCTTCAAGTTTTATCATACAGACGTCCTCGGAGAGAATGCAGTATTTCACAATTTTGCAATACAGATTGTACTCATTCAATATTCAGGACGATCGAAGCACGCGTGGGCTTTTAGCTAGGCCGGCGTTCAAAAAAAAATTCCAAAATCACCTATACGGCCAGCCGGTTCTCACTTTTGCGGTGCGAGCTGTGGTCAAGTGTTTGAATGAACAGTAATAGAGTTATGCTCCAACATAATAAAAAAATTGTTGTGCTTATTTTCTTATTTAATGGTTTTATCGATGTGTAATCTTCAAAAACGTTTGATACGCGCGGCATTTTAAGTACTCCTGCAAGCGATATTCACGGCACAGCGATTAAAATTACAAGAGAGACTACTAACAATCAATAAAAGAAATATAATTTGGTGAAACATATACAGAGACAACAATTTTCATTCACGAAGACAAGTATTAAAGTGTCTCTAAAAATCCTGAGTCGTAAGCTTAAAGCTTAAGTTTATGTTTTGATTGAGCCGGCTTCCCGGTGTTTGCTTTTTTCAGGAGGGGGAGGCGTCTCTAATGTTTTCAGGCATTTGTCTGTGACCGACTCATCAATGACAGTGTGACATCACATGGCAACGAGTCAGAGCTTCGCGTCGCTTGATCAGTTTAGCGTGGAGAAGGCATAGAAGTTAAAACAAAGAAAAGGGCTAATATAGGCTTTTGTTCAACGTTTGTAAAACAATTTGTCGTAAGCGTGCAAGCTTTGTTGCTTATATTGTGTGTGTGTAAAAGCTGTGTTTGTTTTGCCCGCACGTTTGTGTTAAAGTCTACTCGAATCCACTTCGGGTCAGTGGCGTGGGCGCCATTTTGAACTCGGAACTAGATAAGTCCACCCTAAACGTTAGCCGTTTTCTCTTTAAATTGCCAACCAAATCTCCTCAGAAGAGGAGGGTTAATTAATTAATAACAGAAGTTTGATACGATAGTTGATTTGTGTTGATGTAACTAGCCATTTCGCTCATCAATCCTTTTGAATGCGAAGATACTGTTTTGAATCGCGTGTGGTTTCTTGGCTTCTTGACTATCTGGGGTAAATTTTGCGGACTTTAACGATGTCATTGTGTGTTAAGTTTGCTTGTTTGTTTACTGCTTGTGTCTAAGGTTTGCTGTTTAATCTGGTGCCCCTCTGTGTTGATCAAAGTAATTGCTGGCCTTTACTGCTTTGAAAATTTACTGCTGTTGGTTGTTTTATTCTGTTTTGTTATTGTTATTAAAATTTGCTATTTGCTTTTGTCTGCAGTTTTTTGTTGGCTTTTTCCCGGTATTTTACTTGCTTGTGTCTTAAATTTTTCCCGGTAATTGTTGTTGTTGCATTGCTTGTTAGCAGTGTTGTTGGCTTCTGTATTTGCCTTTTAAAAAGATTATTCTATTAATTAATTTAGTGTGACTATTACTTGAGAAAAAAATATATATATTATTTACTTAAAAGAAGAAAACATCATGATGAATAAAAATATTTGATTGTGTATATATTTGACAATGGGCTTCTTGTTGTATGATTTATATTTTGACATTGCTTGGCTTTTTAGTCCTCACAATCATAAGATTGTGTATCTTGTGATGGCTGTTCTACGTGTCCATATTGTTTTTGCAGTGATTTCAATATCTTTCCCAGGCCTTTCAAACCATGTGCCCTCTGCATCCCTTCAAAGCCCCCATTTTTTTTGGAAACACAAATCCCTCACTCCTTTGAGCTAAAAGTAAAAACTTTGCGTGTAGTAAAAACGTTTGTCTCCTCTGTTTTGTCCTTTTTTATTATCCACTTCAAAGTGAGGGTAATTCAAAACTTCAACCTACCAAACTTCCTTGTGTCCCTTTTAGCCTTAACCACCATTATTTTTTACACTGACGTTTCTGTTTTACAGGAAAGTATTGTGCATGGTTTCTTTAAGGCAAATGATCAAGTATGGATCAACTTTAAATTGTTTGTTAGGAATTCTTCTACTCCCTGCTGTTATTATCTTGAAATTATTTCTATCTTTGCTTGATCCAGTTTACAATATTTTGTTACATGTAAAGCCTCAATTCAACTTTTCACTGGTACAATATTTTCAGAGATTAAAATCACAGCTTTTTTTCTCCTGTCTAATGACCATCTGCCTTTTTGTTCCTCATGGCTTTTTACTTAACCTTGGCATTACAAAAACTTGTTCTTTAAAATGTAAGCTTCAATATCCTGTTTACTTGGCAACTGCTGCTTTTTTGCTGATAATTTCTGCACTCCCATTTTCATTCTTTGTGGGTTTATATGTTGTGACGTTGGGGAGACCTTTGATGCCAGTTCCAGATCCTGCACAGAAAATGCCACTCCTTTTCCCAATTTTATATCTCTCATTTGGTGTACTTCTAAGTTATCCCTGTGCCAAACTGCTTGAATTTAGCATGTTGATAAGATCTAAAAGGTTGATAACAACAATTCAAGTTGTTGATATAACAGGCAAGCCACACATCCTCACTTTTGCACCGTATGCCACAATAAAAGATCTAAGATCTCAAATAAATACTAACTTCAGAATAACAAGTGATTTGTACTGGTTGTCATGATGTGGAAAGCCTTTATTTGATTTTTTACTTTTGGAAGAAATAAGAGGAACAGTTTTTATGCATGGGCGATTGATGGGAGGTGTACAATGCTGTCTGAAGGGATGTGAAAATGAGGCAGGATCAAGAAAATTTGATAGTATGGTTGGGCGGTATGAACTGAAATGTGCCCCTGATGACGTTACACCTGAAAATCTCAAAGATCTTAGGGTATGTGATAAACGTTACAGCAGTTTAGGGAAAGTTCATTTAATATGACAAGGGGGGGGGGGGATGAAGATATTGAGGGGGGGCTCCGAAAATTTTTAGACACCCGAAGGGGGGGCTCTGAAAAAAATGTTGGGCTAAGAGGGGGGAGCTCCGAAAATTTGTATACTTCAAAACTGACACATGACATCATCATACAGATCGGATGGTTTTCAACTCAACAATTTAATGACCTGTGCAACTCAGCTATATCACGTGGTTTACAGATATAACAAATGTAGTCTCAGTAATTATTACACTCTTGTTAATCCCAAAAATGCTTTAGAAAATTGTATCACAACTGTATCTCAAGTTTGTCATAGTATAAACCATTGAAGACAATAATGGTAAATATATTTAATACAGTCTAGCAATCTTTTTTCAGGGGAGCAAAGGAATTGAAGGAGGAGGGGGGAGGGGGCTCTGAAATTTTTTCGACTACCAAGGAGGGGGCTCCTAAAAAATTGAACCGCTAGCGAGGGGGGCTGCTAAAATTTCAAGCTTCGAGTTCCCCCCGTTGTCATATTAAATGAACTTTCCCTTATCAGCAAGATGGCATAAACCTCCTAAGGGGAAAAGCTCCGCTAGATCACGCAGCAATGCCCAGCTGGGCATCCTGAACGTTACACCATGTATAGTGACTTGTTCACAATGTGGCAACAAGGTTTGCCTGAGTAGTGATGTTCCCAGCAAGAAACACCACATAAATACGTTTTCAGTGGGATGCAATTTTTTGGATGAAAGAACTGGCAATAAGACTGATTTACATAATGACTTGTATAGTGTAGATCATTGCGATAGAACTTTTCCAGACTACATATGCATGTCATGTCAGCCTTTCTATTTAAAATCCATTAAAATAGAGCATGAGTACAAAGAAGCTCAAAACATCTTCCACCAAAAACAAGGTTGTTCAATTTCCACAATAAGAACAGATAATGAAAGCAACAAGCATGAGTTTTTTGAAGAAGCAACTATTAATCCAACTAAAGGACAAGCCAATGTGTTATCAGAAATAATGGTCTTGGATAGAGAATTTGCTGTGTCTGATGCTTTAAACTTTAAAGCAGGTATTTTTACAGATGTGTTGAATGAAATAATGATACAAACTGCTCCAAGAGAACCAGTAGATGCAGGAAATGAAAATGAAGTACAGCCATCACCTCTGCCAGTTTATACAGTTTTTCAAACAGTTATTTCATGTATTTTTCCATGGACAGTGTCATTTACTCAGCACACTACAGATAATACCATGAAGGTTACTGTTTCTCTTCCAAATATCAGAAAAAGTGTTGTAATAACCACGTGGAAGGAGTTAACCCTTTTTCTTCCTTCCGAAATAAGAACATTTCCTTCAAAGGATTTTAGTCCATTTACAGCAGAATTCTTGGGTAACAAAATTGACCATGGGGAGCTCCCACACAATATTTTTCAAGAAAACATATTAAAATCTGCTTTGGGTGTCATGCTTAAAACTGTTGAAATGATCCAGCCCTTGTCAATATGGCTGAAAGAAAAAGGGAAACATTTATTCTTTGTGGATGCAAAAGGAGCAAATGTAGGTGGAGAGATTGTCAAGTGCATCAGGAGCTTAAATTGCACCTACAAACTACCTGTCCATTCAAAAACCAGATTCAACAAACGGCGGGGCTAAAGTGCAGGTCACAGGTCACAGGTCAGGTCACAGGCCACAGGTCAGGTTACAGATCACACACAAAAACAATAGGACACTGGACAAAACTGTTCTTGATTGACATTTTTTATACAAAAAATAAAACAAGCCAAGGAACCTCAATTATATTTTTCTGTTCTGAACTTCACCAAATCCCACACATGAGAAATATATTCATGTTTATCACGCAAGGAGGACTTGCGTTACAGCGTAACCAAAGTTGGTTGTTAGAAAAACGAATCTCAAAACGAAGGGTTCTTGCATTAAGAATATCATGACGTGTTTGTGGATGTTTTGAAAAGCATTCGACGATAAAACGGAAGAACAACGTAAGGAAAGTCTAAAACTTATTTGACCACTAAAATAGGGCAACTTTCCTCGTCCTAAACTCTTCTTTCCACTAGATCGGTCTTCCATCTCTTTTGAAGATGGCGGCCTGCTGCTCGCGCTTCGTACCAGTCACAAAATACCGTTGTGTTAAAGTGTAGTCGGCTAAGAACTTCAGACACTGCTATTTGGGCCTCTCAAATAGTTGCTGGAACATATTTCTCGGCTCTTCTCCCAAGAGCTTGCCATTTTCTCACGTTCTATTGCACAACAGCTTGAAAAACCTCTGTTGGATTTGCCTCGTGGGCCTTAGGTGGGAGCATTCCGCCATTACAACTTGAATCTTTGACTCTGTAAACTGCTGCTGTATCAAAGGATTACAGTGCTGCATTTCAATGACTCGCTCCAAGTTATCTTGGCTGCACGGTTTATTTGAAGATGACATTCTAATAACACGACAACACTTCGTTTTCAGTGAAAAACATGTGATTCGTTTTTCGTACAAATCACATGACTTTGCACACCCTTGTGATTTCGTTACGAAGTTTGGATATGCCGTATGATCAGCATGAAAATATTATTCCATGTGTGGAATTTAATATTGTTTAAAGGACAAAAATACCATCAAGGTTCCTTGGCTTATTTTATTTTTGTATAGTAAAACGTCAGTCCAGAACAGTTTTGTCCAGTGTCCTGTTGCTTTTTGTGGCCCCAACCTGACCTGTGACCTGTGACCTGTGGTCTGACCTGTGACCTGACCTGTAGCCTGTAACCTGTGACCTGACCTGTGACCTGTGACCTGCACTTTAGCCCCGCCGGAAAAACTTGTAATGCAGACCAAATCTTACATTTCTGGTGCATTTGATTATTCACATGAATTTAAAATGGTCAAAACACAAGATCTTTGGGAATGTAGGGAATTTGACAGATCTCTCATGCCAAAAGCTGGCAATTATCACGATCATCTTGAACAAGTAAGACGTTTCATTTTGAAAAATGGTTTTCAAGAACCAATAACTATATCATGTGATCTTACAACTGGAAAAGCCTATATCACTGAAGGAAACCATCGTCTTCGGGTGGCCATTCAGGAAGGTATACCATTCATGACACCATGTCATGTTATTTCTCACTGGCTGCCCCCGAATGGCTCTTACAAAAAGCTTGAAATTGATTTTTCCACTTTAAAATTTGGGGAAACAATACTTCCTGAACAATTGGGATTGACTGTTGCACAGATTGGTTTCAATAAGTGCATAAAACAATAACCTTCACAAAAGATACATCAAATCTATTTCTGTTTGTATGCATAAACTTGAACACTATCATAATTATAGTGTTCTTAAATTAAAAATAATTAGTATTAATTTGTTGATTTTAATATTTTGTACTTTGACAACAGAGATTCCTTGCACCCCTGATCAAAAATTATTTAATGGAATATTGCAGTTAATATTGTACAATGCAATTGCACATAGACTCTAGACTAGCAGTTTTATCCCTCTAGCATTAATATACGGAGAGACTGTTGAAGTCTAACCGTTTGCAGCCGTTTGTAGAGCCTGACTATTAATTTTATAACCTGCATGTATTTCAGTAGACTACGAGTAGTCCCCCATTTCTCCTCAGGGATAGTAGAGCGAGCGAAACGCGAGCGCGCGTGAAAATCACCCCACGCGAAAAACGAAGACACGCTCGCTCTACTATCCCTGAGGAAAAATGGGGGACTACTCGTAGTCTAGTATTTCAGGAGCTATCTATTTGCCACTCAAAAAATGACGTTTTCCTGATGTTGATTCATGCACAAAACATGCATATAAGTCTTCTGTTGTTAGAAGTAAACGAGGAAATTTCAAAACTTACCACTGATCAGACTGATCTCCAGTGCCAACCTGTAGCAGGTAGTGACTTGATGTAAGCCGCGCCAGATTACATTTATGTCGTCTTCACATTTTTTCATTCCATCGACTTTAAAGGGATTGATGAGAAGAACTACGCACTCTGGCTCGCTGAAACTTGGCGTACATTAAGCTCAATGTATCATATACCAATCCTCCTATTCGGAGATCAGGGTATTGCCACACCACCTCGCACGTTGCCCGAAAGCGATAAACGATCATACAAACTGTGCCAATTTATAGACACTTCGCGGTAACTTTCTTCGCCTCACGGGGGTGGATCTAGGGGGAGGGTGCAGGGGAGAGATGACCTGCGGTTTTCTAATACAACTGGTATTCTGCCTCAAAAAAAAACTATGTGGTTTATTGGTGTTGAAGTAGAGCAAGAGACGAGTGCACCCCCTCCTAAAAAAATCCTGGATCCGCCACTGCCTAATGTGATGTTTTTGAAACTTTTTCCGCCTTAACCTTATCGCGAATATTTCCATGTTATTTTTCGAAGAAGGCAAAAGATGAATCCAAACATTCGGAAAATTGACATCCTTTGCAACGTAACGAACAAGAAATTTGCCCGCCATTTTGAAAATCACCGATGTATGAAGTGACGTCACACTGGCAGTGATTTACCCTAGAGCTGGCTTTTTATCGCTCAAAGCTTTCTTTAAAAGCCAGAATTATAACTAAATATTCTTTGGAACGTTTTCTTTCTATTTGAGGTGAGAAAATGTCTGAAGGCTTTTTAAAGTTCTGTAAGCTTATATCAAACCTGATACTCGGTCAGATCGTTGTCTCGAAATCTCACAAACGTGAATAAACTAAATAAACTAGGGGTACCTTTCGGCAAGTGCCAACCAGGCGAATTCGATAACCTTTTGTGGGATGTGCCTAACGGTCCTTCGTGAATCGGTGGAAAATTTTAGGGGTTTTAAATTGATTTGTCTATTATTAATAAAGCCAAAATAAGAATTAATACAGGAGATTGTAAAGGGACTGTAAAAGGGTGGGGTGGTACGCCCTTATATTGCCTATACGGGAATGTGCCGCTGGACAGGGAATGGTTTTTGACCTCTCCGTCCCCTATTGTGTTTTTACTCTACAGTAATTGCCAATAAATTCATAAATAGCTTTAAACACGACGGCGCTTTTTTCGTTTATCCTAAACGGAGTATATAATTGGCGTTGTTGACCTAAGAGGGTATGTATTTAAGGATATTTTTGTCCTAAACAGGGTCAGGGTTTCAAACCTCGGCGGTTCACCTATACCTAAATATTGGTTGAGTAACCCCCTGAGGGGTTGGAAACAACAACTTTGGTACATTCTAGGTCAACCTGGTCACAGAAGCTTAAAGCGTCTTTGGTAGCAAATCTTCACTGCAAATTTCATTTTATTTACACGATAAACGTTAGGTAATCAACCCTTGAGAATTGAACTTGAACAAGTTAATAACAAGCTGTGTCTACTGTCTACACTTCAGCAGTGCTTTGTTTGAAATTATTGAAATCAATGTATTAAGTGCCTATATGGTTGTTTTCTTTCATGGTATGAAACAACAAATACAACAATTGAATTTGTACAAACGAATTTTTTAAAATTCGTAGCACGTCTCAGTAATAAATATCAAAGTTTTATATAATAACGTTCTTATAGATAGCAAAAAATGTAGGTAACAAAACTTTGAACGCTTTGATTGTATTGCTCTGTTCACGAACTTAAATAACAGTTTCTTTTACACTTTGTTTCACTAGAGTTCACATGTCATTTTTTTGAAATTCTTTAACTTTGTCCACAAAATGGTTGATTTGTTTAG